TCACTGTTCCTAGTGTGATAGACTTGCTTCTATAGTTTTGTTGTCATGGCCTGTACAGAAGAGTCAGCTATATCGTATTTTATTTGCTGAGCTAATTTGTAAACGGGAACTATCCAACATGGAGTCCTGGTGTGGCTCTGTTGGGTAAAGCACTAGACCACAAGGTCGGTTTGAACTGCAAGGTCGGCAGTTCAAACTCACCAACCACTCCTTGGAAACCTGATACAGGGTCACTATGAGTTGGAACCCACTCAAAAGCACTTACCAACATACCAAGTGCTATGCATCGGCCAGATCTATACATTTAACTCTCAGTCACTTGTTGTGTTCCAAGACAACAGATATGTTGAAGTGAAGGCTCAGTGGAAGATATCATTACCTCTTTCTTACCTGTGAAATTACTTGAGGAAAGATCAGAAATTATCTATAATCTAATAATGTTTGCTGGAAGTCCTGGTGTGGTACTGTAGGATAAGTACCAGACTGCTAGCTGCCAGGTCGGCAGTTCAAACCCACCAGCCACTCTTTGGAAAACCCTTTACAGAGTCAGAACTGACTCACTGGCACTTAACAACAACAATGGTGTTTGCTGGATTGGTTCTCTGAGATGTGTTTACAAAGGGAGAATATTAAATCAAATTAAAACAATCATGAGAAGTTGGAATTAGAGAAATTTTTCTATATGAATTTTCTTATGTTTTTTTTCCTTAGATGTATTCTTAAGATGGACCACCACTGCCCTTGGTATGTAAAAAGAAGGGGGCGACCACAAGGGGCTGGAGGGGAAGAAGAGAGAGAATTGAGAGTGATTTACTTAGTTTTGCTAAAATTTGAGGGTCATTTTAATTGTTTTTAGACATAAAATTGATCTTTTAAAAATATAGTAACCCAAATAATGAATGATACGTTTATGAATTAACATTAGAATTCCAAATAAATGTCATAATGTTTTCCCTTACTGATGTATTAACAACACAAACAAATAATTAAGACATTGCTCCCTTACACTTTCCAAATGACCTATTACCAAATAACAGTAATTAGACTTTCTGATTTGTCTTATTTTTATAGAGTGCCTTTCTTTATCCTTCTAGGGTGAATAACTGTGTGGGATTCTCTAATTACAAGTCTTTCCTGCTGTTTTTACTGTACTCCCTCTTATACTGCCTTTTCGTGGCTACAACAGTTTTACAGTACTTTATCAAATTTTGGACGGTAAGTCTTTTTTTTTTTCCCTGTCTTAAATAATATTTGAGATCCTTTAGGATGCTATATTCCTGAAGATTTATTTCATTCTTTGTTATAAGAAGATATACTTTAGTTCGAATTTATAGTGGATCAGGGCTAAGCTGTACCTTTGTACACACACGTTTATTTGTACATGTCTGTTAAACAAGATGAAGTGCTGGTGTGGCGCTGTGGGCTAATGTGCTGAACTGCAAGGTCAGTTCATCCACAATGTTGACAGTTCAAGCTCACCAGCTGCTCTTTGGGAACCCTATACAGGGTTGCTATGGAACCAAAAAGTTTTCTTATACAAACTTGTGAAGTCTTCTCTTATGTGTCACAGGTAATGCTGGTCACTGCCAAGATTATCAGCAACTTGTTTGCCCACAATCTTTGCAGTGAGTGTATATGGGTTGCTATGAGTAGGAAACAGTGCTGACACCTAGCAACAACATTTTGTATAAGCTTAAGAAGTTGGAATTAGCTTGTATACTTTTCCTATCTAAAGAAAAGAATTTAATCAAGATGTAAGTAAAAATGGGTTTGTTTTCCTTTGGGAGAAAACAAAAGTAATGGTGGTGTTCAGACTTAGGAATGAGGAAGCTCTTTATGAGAAACTCTGTGAACTGATCTGTAGGCTCTGCCACTATGGGAATGTGCTTTCAATGTATATAGGATGGCACCATTTCTGTACAAAATCATTGTTGTTGTTGGGTGCCATTGAGTCAGTACCGACTCACAGCGACCCTGTGCACAACAGAACCAAACACTGCCCGGTCCTGGGCCAACCTCACAATTGTTGCTACGTTTGAACCCAGTGATGCTGCCACTTGGCCAGTCCATCTCGCTGGGGGTCTGCCTCTTTTTCTCTGACCCTCCACCTTACCAAACCTGATATCCCTCTCTAGTGATTGGCCCCTCCTAACATTAGGTCCGAAGTATGAGAGAAGAAGTCTGGACATCCTGGCCTCCAAGGAGCCACTCTGGCTACAGTTCTTCCAACACAGATCTGTTCGTTCTTTTGGCAGCCCATGGCATGTTCAATATTCTCCTCCAATACCATAACTCAAAAGCATCAATACTTGTATGATCTTCCTTATTCACTCAACTTTCACATGCATATGAGGCTATTGGAAATACCATGGTTTCGGTCAGGCGCACCTTAGTTCGCAAACTGATATCTTTGCTCTTCAACACTTTAAAGAGGTCTTGTGCAACAGATTTTCCCAATGCAATACATCGTTTGATTTCTTGACTGCTGCTTCCATGAGTGTTGATGGTTGATCCAAGCAAAATGAAGTCATTGACAACTTCTGTCTTTTCTTCATTTATTTGGATGCCATATACATATTTGTATGTGTATAGGTTGCTTCTGGAAGAATACATAAGGAAATTTCTAATGGTGGTTGCCTCTGGAGGAAAATGCAATTGGAATGGAAGAAAGACATGCTTTTTTGTGAACTCATATTTGTGTCCTTTGTCTTTTTCTTGTCGGTTTTTCCATATATGTATTAAGAAATTTTATTATATTAAAAGTATTCATATTTACTCTTGCTGTTGGAGAAGTCAAAGATGGCTTAAATAGGATACAGGAAGCACCAACTATAATTTCTGAGAGATTGGTATGTTGGACTTCAGTAAAATTAAGAACGCTCAGCTCATTAAAAGGCTACTTAGGGGGGAAAAAGGGCTATTTAGAAAAGGCAAACTACCGATTGGGAAAAGATGTTTACAATACACACAGCCAGCAAAGGACTTGTATCCCAAATCCATAGGAGCTCCTAAAGATAGGAACCCTTTTTCTGACGTGGGTTTTTTCCCATGTTTCCTATTTATAGCTTTAACCCTGTTTTGATTTTGCCAAATCAAAGTTTTACATTTTTAAGCTGGATATTTTTTTGTTTTTCATTTAGAATTTCTGACTTCATTATAAATTTATTCAAACATTCACCCATGTTTGCTTCAGGTATTCATGTTGCTTTTGTTTTTGCGTTTAAATGTTTTATTTTGAAAGGAGGGATTACTATGGTGAAAAGTCCTCTGACATTTACTCTTCCTATAGGCCCCATGAAGAAGCTGTTATGACTCAGTTAGAAACTGAGGGTGAAAAAGTAATGTACCCATGGCTGCGTACTTACAGGAAGCTAGAATGTAAACATCATTCAGTTCCAACTTACAGACATTTTCCTCCGTAGCTAATACATTTTTGAGAGATTTTCATCAAAATATCATTAGGACTCTTCAAACCTGGGTCTATAAAAGCAGAGGGTGCAAGCATTCCCGGTGCCTCTCTGCGTGTTAGAGCTGGGTGAGCTCTCTCTCAGCCTCTGGGAGTCTGGCCTGGACTGTCCCCCTGAGCTGAATACCTTTGCTCAGCTGACCATCTGCTGACCACATTAAGCTGACCACATTAGCCTGTTTGAAAGAAGAGCGTTCAGTGCCAGATGAAAGCTGAGTGAGAGAATTACACATTTCTCTATTAGGAACTTCATGTACTTGTTTACATGTGATAATTTAGGAACCAAAGAATAAACGGTCTCCAACTTTTTTTCCATGAGTAAGGAAACATTAGTAGAATGAAGTCTACCTTTTTCTTCATCACTCAGTTCATCTTTTTAATCATTTACTCTGTGCCTTGAATTTACTTGCTTCTTACCAGTAATCAAAAGACAAATAGTCTGGTCTTTGGAGCGCTTATTTGTGAACAGAGGGAGATTATTAATTAATTAGTTAATCATACTGTATGTTAGAAAGTAAATGCTAAGAAGAAAACAAAACTAGAGCAGAGAAAGGGAGTTGGTCATTATCAGATCTTCTGTTGTGGTGTTAAAGGTGATCAGGGAAGGCCTCAGTCAGGAGGTTTGAATTGGACACAGATGGTGAAGGAAATGGTGACTCATGGGAGGAGAGAGGTCAGCTGCACAGAAGCGCAAAGGCCCTAAGGCAGGAGCATCCCAGACACACCTGAGTAACTCAAGTTGCTTAATGTGTTGGGAACCTCGCTACCTCATGCGGTCAGTGGACTAGGGAGCTCCTAGAACATTTTGAGCAGTGAGCAGGGGAGTGACGTTCTTAGACAGACGTTTGAAAGGATACCTCTGATTGCAGAGTCCAAAGTTGACATCAGACGGAGTGGCAGGCCAGGTTTAGAAGGCTGAGTTTTAGTAATCCCAGCTTGCCTTATGGTATTTAGCAGTGAAGGCAGTAAGAAACCATCAGTTCTAGGATTCAGAAGCTATTCATCAGAGCCTATTTTCTGTTTTCCAAGAAAAAAGTCATTTTTATTCCCTGACAGGCACCAATCTTTGTTTTAAAATTTGAATGAAAAAGGCTACTTGAAGGGTATTTTAATATGCTTGAAGAGCTACATGTTCTTGTCTTACGTACATAGCCTTTAAAAAGCAACATCTTAGTGTTCCTTCCAAACACAAACGATTTTAAAGGATAGTGTTTGGGATAATTTTGTGTAAAAATTGGTTTCTTAATACGTTGTCTTTATTTGCACAAGCTTTGCCGCAGGAAATCTACAGAAAGTTGTCCAAAGGTAAAACACAGTAATCTCTTTTGTGACATTTATAGTAAATATGTATAATGCTAATTTCCTTCACAAGATGGGAAGATGTAAGAATCCCTTGATATGTTTTAAAAGGTATTGTAGTTACTCTGGGAGAGATGAGAAAAATATAAACATCAGAGTACTCTGATGCTAAGCACCTTTCTTTTGACTTGTACATACTTACAAAATCAAAAAGGACAGCCTCAAGTTAGGGTAACATAGATGGTTTGCCTACAGTTTTATGTTCAAATCGAACACTTAAAAGATACTCTTTTCTTTTGGGTTAAGATGTTCAAATGCACATAGCCTTAAGAAGGAATAGGGTTCTTGGTGGCACAGTGTGTTGAGTGTTGGGCTGCTAACCACAAGGTTGGTGGTTCAAATCCACCAGCTGCTCCATGGGAGAATGATGAGATTGCCTGCTCCCATAAAGACGTATAGTCCCAGAAACCTTATGTAGGTTGCTGTGAGTCAAAATCACTCAGTGATGGTGGGACTTTGGGTTTTAAGAACGAACAACAAAGTGGTTTTCATTCACTGACACGTATGTGTGTATATTTGTTTTGTGTGTGTGTGTGTGTGTGTATATATATATATATATATATATATATATATGCATGAGTATATATTATATATATAATATATATGTCAATCAGTTATTGATTAGCTGCATATATAGTAAAAATAAATATTTTAGCATAGATAGGAGAAAACCCTTATATATCCAGGAATTTGACAAAAGCTTGAATATAAAAGTATAAAAGAAAATTGTTGAATATAAGAACCCATGTTTTTATTTATTATTGAGAATGTTGCTAAAATTTTTGAATAACTTAAGAGCCGTTTTTAAGATGACTGTTTCAGACCTCTTCATGTAAGCACGTATCCTTTGATAATGACAATTTTCTGGTTTTGCAGTTGTTGCTTTTAGATATATTATCAGATTAATTTTTTTATTCTTCGTTCTTGGCCAGCTTTTTAGTAGGCTCTCTGTAGCGTTATGTAGCCTAATGTAGAGTTTGACTGTTCCAGGAATGAACTTTTTCTTTTCCCTCAGAATGAACTGTCTGACACACGTGCGAAATTCCACGTCCTGTTTCTTTTCTTTGTGTCGGCGATGTTCTTCATCAGCGTCCTGTCCCTCTTCAGCTACCACTGCTGGCTAGTCGGAAAAAACAGAACAACAATCGGTCAGTGACTTAAATATATCCTGACTCTAGGAAATTGACTGCAAGTGAACATAAAATCTAATCTAGAGAACAGTAAGCAAAAGATGATGAGGAATGAAATAATCATGGTAGAAGTAACACTGGCTGGATGGGCGTGGTGTCTGCGTGCCGTGGAGTCGGTTCTGACTCATAGCAACCCTGTATAGGGTTTCCAAGGCTGTAAATTTTTACAGGAACAGAAAGCCTCATCTTTCTCCTGTGGAACAGCTGGTAATTTCGAACTGCTGACCCTGAAGTTAGCAGCCCGATTCGTAACCACTACGTTACCAGAGCTGCTTCTGGATGGCGATAGTGGGCATTAGCAAAAGTTAACTATTTTGAAAGAGGTTGATGAAAGAGATGGAGCCCTCCCACCCCCCAGTAATGCATTATAGACAAAAGTAGAGAACAGATTAAATTTTCCAAATTTTAGTGAATCAAAGAGGCTTCATGCATTTATAGAATATCTTCTCAAAATCTATCTGTGAAAGAGTACATTTATGTACCATAAGCAAGTTCATTCAAAAAATACCTTAAAGTCCTAAATTGTAGCTAAAACATCATATCCATTCATGAATGTACTCCCCCGCCCCATAAATGTATTACAGAATTGGCTGAGGGTATGGTCTGTGGTTTTGAGGCTAGGATTAGTGGTTTTGCAATGCCTCATCATTTCCATCTGGTAACATTTGTTAGCGACTTAATGTATTCCATAACTATAGTATCAGAATTTATTTCTGTTCTTAATTCCTTATTTAAAATAAAAGTATAGAGGAAGAATTCAGTAAGGTATTAAATAATTGGACAATCCTTTTGTAGACAAAGATGATGGTATTGTTCAGACTGAACTATATTGCCATATAAACAGTCAGCTGGAATTAGGTATGTATGTATTGGCCAGTGTTCCAGTATACAAGTTAGGGATCTATCATGATGATGTTTTGTTACTGTTAAAGGTCACTTGTCATCCAAAGCCGTATGTCTGCCAGGAGACTTGGAAGGGTACAGTTACTAACATCAAAGGATGAAGTCCTTTTAAGGAAAATTTGAAAAATAATTCAAACTTCCATTTATCCTTAAATGATGTACATTGTGAGGGATTTCCAATGTAAGGATTGTTTGGCCCTTCCTTCCCCAGTTTATCCTCCAGCTGTTGAGTGTCTTCTGATTCCATCACAGAACACCTTCATCCCTTTCAGTGTAGGGGAGTCTAGACCTGTATCTAGCCCCTCAGGCATCCACCTTACAGTCCTGATAGGGCTGGTTCTGCCTTCTTTTTTGTTTCCTAATCTTAAAAAAGCTTTAAAGGGCAACCAGTTCCCTGGTGTAGTATTGTAGGGTAAGCACTGGACTGCTAACTGCAAGGTCAGCAGTTCAAACCTACTAGCCTCTCTTTAGAAACCCTGTACACAGTCACTATGAGTTGGAACAGACACAACAGTACTTAACAACATCAAAACCACATTTCCTTCACTTAATAATGTGAAACAAGCCGTATTCATTCGCAGGGGTTCAAGTTCTTTAGGGATGGACTAAGTGGTCAGTATCTTCACTTATAAAAGTGTCTTGAACTTGATGGAACTTAGCTGAGAAATAAAGTTTATATTTTTTATTTTTATCTTTTAATTTCATTTTTCCACAAACCTTTTGAAGTCCCTTCCTATAGGAGGTAATTCATAAATAATGACTAAGTGAAGTTGAAAGAGTTTGAATATATCCATCCCCCTCCAAAGAAAAAAACTCCAAATAAATTGCAGTTATACACAATTCAATAGATTGTCAATAATACTAGATGACTGTTTTGAAAATTGTCTTTTTATGAGGTGGTTGAAATGTTCAAATGTGATATTTTTCCCAAATAAATTTTAGAGCTTTTTCTTTTAATTGCTGTAAGTATATTGTTTTAAGTTATGTTTATACTTTTTATACTAAAGATATAAAGTACAAAAACTGTTATGTTCCATCTCTCATATGACGAGTCTTAAATAGATTGACTCATTTTCCTTTTTCTGTGTACCGTGGCAGAGTCATTCCGTGCACCCACATTTTCCTATGGGCCTGATGGGAACGGTTTCTCCCTTGGATACAGTAAAAATTGGAGACAAGTATTTGGTGATGAAAAGAAATACTGGTTACTGCCAATATTTTCAAGGTAATTTATTTATGAAATTCACATGTCATAAACTGTCTAATCCGTGGTGGTCTCTGCACCACTCATCTGTCAGTTTGTGTTCCTGTGCTGCTGGGGGTTCTGCCACTGGAATTTCAGGCACCATCAGAGTCAGCCATGGTGAATAGGTTTCATGAGCTTCCAGACGAAGACAGACTAGGAGGAAGGAGAGGTGGACTACGTCTGAATGTTTAACCACTGGAAACCTTATGGATAGCAGTGTAACACTGTCACATAGCACCAGAATTTTGAATATCGAAACATTATAAATATCACCAGAATATTGTCAGATACAGTGCGGGAAGATAAGCTCCTTAGATTGGAAGGCACACAAAATACAACTGGGGAAGAGCTGCCTCCTCAAATTGAAGTTGACCGTGATGACACGAGTGGAGTAAAGCTTTTAGGACCTTCATTTGCTGATAGGGCACAACTCAAAATGAAGAGAAACAGCTATAAACATCATTAATAATCGGAACATGGAATGTACGAAGTGTGAATCTAGGAAAATTGGAAGTTGTCAAAAACAAAACGGAATGCATAAAGATCAATATCCTAGGCATTAGTGAGCTGAAATAAACTGATATTGACCAGTTTGAATCTGACAGTCACATGTTTTACTGTGCCAGAAATGACAAATTGAAGAGTAATGGCATCGCATTCATCATGAAAAGGGACGTCTCAAGATCTACTTTAAAGTGTAATGCTATCTGTGTTAGGATAATATTCATACGCTTACAAAGAAGGTCAGTTAGCACCACTATTATTCACATTTACACACCAACCACTAAAGCCAGTGATGAGGAAATTGAATTCTGCCAACTTCTTCAATCTGAAATTGATCAAACATGCAATCAAGAGAGGTATTGATCATTACTGGTAATTGGAATACAAAGGCTGGAAACTAAGAGGTAGGATCAGGAGTTGGAAAATACTGCCTTTGTGATAGAAACTAAGCTGGAGTTCTCATGACAGAATTTTGAAAGACCAATGACAACTTCATTGCCAGTGCCTTTTTTAAAACAACATAAAAGACAAGACAACTGTATACATGGACCTCACCAGATGGAATACACAGAACTCAAACTGACTCCATCTGCGGGAAGAGACATTGGAAAAGTTCCATATCATCAGCCAAAACAAGGCGAGGGGCAGACTGTGGCATGAACCATCAAGTGATCATATGCAAGTTCAGGCTGAAACTGAAGAAAATTAAACAAGTTCACCAGAGCCAAAATATGACCTTGAATATATCCTACCTGAATTTAGAGATCATCTCAAGTACAAATTTGAATCATTAGACACTAATGACTGAAGACCAAGAGTTCTGGGAAGACATCAAGAACATCATAAAGGAAGAAAGCAAAAGTTTATTCATTAAGAACACAAGAAAGAAGGAAAAGACCAAAATGTATGTCAGAAGAGACTCTGAAACTTGTTCTCAAGTCTAGAGATGCTAAAGCAAATGGAAGAACTGAGACAGTAAAAGAACTGAACAGAAAAATTCAACATGCAGCTCAAGAAGACAAAGTCAGGTATAATAATGAAATGTGCAAACACCTGGCGTTAGAAAACTAAAAGGGAAGAAAACGCAAGAACTCAAGAAAAAATTCAAGCCTCAATTTGAAATATGGGCAAAATATTGAATGTTGCAGAAAGCAACAAAAGAAGATGGAAGGAATACACAGTCACTGTACCAAAAAGAAATGGTCAATGTTCAACCTTTCAAGAGGTAGCATATGATCAAGAGCCAATGATACTGAAGGAAGAAGTCCAAGGAATACGTTAAGAACATGGTTCTGGGAATTGATGGAATACAAATTGAAATCTTTCAACAAACTGATGCAGCACTTAAGGCACTCACTCATCTATGTCAAAGAAATTTGGAAAACAGCTATCTGGCCAACTGCTTGGAAGAGATCCATATTTGTGCCCTTCCAAAGATAGGAGATCCAATGGAATGATGAAATCATGGGACAGTATATTAATATCACATGCAATATCAAATTTTGCTAAAGATAGTATTAAAATGGCTGCAATAGTACATTGGCAGGGAACTGCCAGAGGTTTAAGTAGATTTATCTGAAGACATGGAATGGAAGTATCATTGCTGATATTAGATGAATCTTGGCAGAAGGCAGAGAATACCAGAAAGATGGTAGCTGTCCTTTATTGACTATGTGAAGGCTTTTGATTATGTGGATCATGACAAGCTATGGATAACTCTGGAATGGGTATTCTGGAACATGTAACTGTGCTCATGAGGTACCTGTACATGGACCAAGAGCAGAGCAAGGTGACAGACTGGTTTAAGATCAGGAAAGGTGTGCGACAGTGTTGCAGTCTTCCAACATACTTACTCAATATTTATGCTGAGCAAATCATCCAAGAGGCTGGATTATATGAAGAAGAATATGTCATTAGGATTCGGGGGGAAATCATTTAACAAACCTGGGATATGCAGATGGTACAACCTTGCTTGCTGAAACCAAAGAGGACTTAAAATACTTACTGATGAAGATCAAAGATCACAGCCTTCAGTATGGATTGCACCTCATGTAAAGAAGAGAAAAATCTTCATTACTGGAACAATAAGTACCATCATGATAAATGGAGAAAAAATTTGATATTGTCAAGCACTTCATTTTTCTTGGATCCACAGTCAACACTTACGGAAGCAGCAGTTAAGAAATAAAGTGACATATTGCATTAGGCAAATGTGCTGAACAAGACCTCTTTAAAGTGTTCAAAAGCAAAGATGTCAGTTTGAAAACTAAGGTGTGCTTGACCCATGCCATGATATTTTTGATAGTCTTATATGCATGGGAACATTGACCAGTAGACGAACTTATACATTTGAGTTATGGTGTTGCAGAAGACTATTGAAGTACCATGGACTACCAGAAGAACAAGCAAATCTTTGCTGGAATAAATGCAGCCAGAATGCTCCTTAGAAGTCAGGATGGCGAGATTTTGTCTCCTACTTCAGACATATTATCAGGAGATCCATTCCCTGGAGAAGGATCTGGTAAAGTGGAGCATCAGCAAAAAAGAGGAAGACCCCCAAAGAGATGGGTTGGCACAGTGGCAGCAGCAGTGGGCTCCAGTTTAAAGATTGTAAGGCTAGCGCAGGACTGAGCTGTGTTTCATTCTATTATGTTTTTTTTTTGTCGTTATTTTGTTTTGTAATTTTGTTTCATTCTATGAATCAGCACCTTGTTTCTATGGTGAGAATGACATCATTGGACACCAAACAATACAGCAGTATTACTGGACAGTAAGTCATAAACTTGAACAGCTGATACAAGTACATCAGCAGGATTGCATGTGTACATATTACTAATGATAAGATAGATGTACTGCCCCCCAAAAACAGTGCCCTTAAGTGCGGTTTATAATGGCATGCATGCAACCTAAGTCAGGGCTTGTCTATAAATGCATTAGGTCTTCTTTGGTTTACGACACATAAGAGTATGTAGTTTTTGTGTGGAATCTTTGAAACTGTGGCTAATAAGTGTGCATGATTTTCTGGAGGCCCTGGGTGGTGCAAACAAATAAAATGCTCAGATGCTAATCAAAAGGTTAGAGATTTAATTCCCCCCAAAGGCACTTCAGAAGAGAGGCTCGACAGTGTACTTGCCCGCATCACCTGTTGAAAAGTATGAAGCACAGTTCCACTCAGACCCACGTGGAGTCAGCAGGTTCAGAATCCACTCATGTGACGACATAACTAGTTTAAACGGATTTTTTTTTTTTAAGTCTAAATTATTTTGTTGTTGAGAATATACACGGTAAAACATACACCGACCCTACAGTTTCTACATGTACAGTTTAGGGACGTTGATGACTTTCTTGGATTTGAGCCGCCAACCTTCTCCCCCTCCTTTTCTGAGTTGTTCCTCCCTCATTAACATCAACTCACAGCCCCTAGGGTTCCTGGGTGATCTTAGGGGTTGCTGGTGTCAATGTGATTTCATCTGAATAGATCTTCAAAGAGCATAATATTCGAGGAAGGCCTTCTCATTATGCTAAACTATTGTTGGGTCTTGAGAAGACTTCAGAGGATGTTTTTGATTTAAGGTTGAAGGATTCTCTCAGGTCAGTAGATTCAGGGAGCCGTCTTTCTCCTGTACTCATGGCTCCAGAAGGTGAAATTCTGGTCTGTGTTTCCCCGACTTGGGCTCAGGATTTAACAGCCACTGGTTTGATTTAGAAGTTTTCCTACAGCTCACTAAAGCACTGTTTATTTTTAATTCAGTCTTTTTTCTGTGCTTCATTTTGAACAGACCCTATTGCTATATTCCTTCTGGATATTATACTCAATGCATGCATCATATTCTATGGTTTTCCCACTTTGATGGGAAAACAGACTGTTTTTTTAAGGATATTTTTGCTAAACATAGAATTCTGAGTGGACAGGTTTGAGTGCTAGTATGGTTGGTAGGTTTTTTCTGTTTTCTTTAAAGACACTGTTCCATTATTTTCTGGTTTACTTTGTGAAACGAAGGCAGCATCACTCTCTCGGCTACTGTTTGTAATATGCCTCCTTCCTCCTCTGGCTAAAGCTTTGTCTCTTTATCACTGCTTTTAGGCAGTTTGATTATAATTCCTTTGTGTATGTCCTGCCTGGGTTTTATTAGGCTGCTTGGACCTAAGTTGATATTTTCTTCAAATTTGAGTACTTCCTATCCATTATATCTTCAAAAAATGGTTCGCCTGCTTCCTTTTCTCCTCTTCTCACCCCAGAGAGCCTCATTTTTTTCCCAAGGAGCAACTAGTAGACTCAAACCACCAACTTCGTGGTTTCATTGCTTATCATACAGAGTCACCCTGCGGCCCTGAGTAGGTAGTAACCTCTAAATAAATCCTCTGTGGGATGTAAATAAACAATAAATAAAATCCATGTGATTATTCCCTGTAGTTTATTCCAGTCCTCTGAAAACTGGTGTCAAGTGTGGCCATTGATTGAGTTGTGTGTTTCTGACTCCTGCTGTTTCTCATCTTGCAGCTTGGGTGATGGTTGCAGTTTTCCAACTCGCCTGGTGGGGATGGACCCAGAGCAAGCTTCTGTTACCAGCCAAAATGAATATGCCAGAAGGTGTGTTTCTTGTCATTAAGTTTTGTAATATTCTATTATTCATTATAAAGCATGTTATGTACATGTCTTATACATACATAGTAGTGTAATAAAATTAGTATAATAGTAACTGAGTAAGCCAGTATAAATAGGGAAAGAGAAATTCTCTCTAGATGTGTTTGTTAACTGAGAGCTAATGTGTATGTGCTTAGATTTTTGTCTTCTAAACCTGAAGACTGGGGAGCAGAAAGAGAAAGTTGTTGTTGTTGTGAAGTGCCATCGAGTTGGTTCTGACTCATAGCCACCCTGTATAGGGTTTCTGAGGGGCAGCTGGTGAGCTTGAACCACTGATCTTGTGGCTTCAACAACCTTGCAGTCCAGCACATTAACCCACAGCACCACCCCAGGACTCCAGCAAAGAGAATACTTGTTATTAATAGGTAGTTAAACCAGAACAGTCACATAAAACTGGAAAGGTCTGGGTCAAGTGGGAAGCATAGCTACCAGCCTGCCACTGCTTCCTAGGAGCGAGCGGAAGCTGCATTCAGGACTGAACTGAGCCGATTTGTATCAGTTCTGTCTCTTTCTAAGAGACAGGTCATTTTACACTCACCAGTTTAGTTTGATAAACAGATTTCAACTGCAGTGTCCAAATACCACTAATGAGGATTCCAAAATAGAATTAGAAATCTTTTTCTCATTAGCCCATCAGAGAGGAAATGTTTTTACAGTACTTTCATGGCAAACAAGCTATTTCACAAAATTTGAGAATTATGCCATTTTAAATGAAATTTTCAGGAAGCTTGAAAGACTTCTATCAAAGTTAAACAGTTGAAAAGTATTGATTACATCACAAATGGCGGGGGAAAGAGGATTATTAATTCCAAGTTAGCCTGTTAGTGCTGGAAGAGCACAGACCCCCGAACCTAGAGTCTAAAAGCTTTCAATCCTAAAGTTCCAACATTTCTTAGCATTCGAAGCAAGTCACATAAACCCTCTGAGCCTTGGTTTCCACCTCTATAAAATGTCGTCATTCTGCCAACCTCCGGGGGTTGTCGTGGGGTCAGGATCCCCTGGAGTCAGTACCTGGTGCCGTATGTGGCCCCTAATCGAGGCACACCTGTTGCTCCCCTTTCCTCCTCCTTTTCTTCCTCTGTTCCCTCCCTCCCCAGATCTCTTAGCTAGTCAAATAAGTCTACAGTCAATTACTAAATCCTTTTTTCCCCTTAGATCTAAACTGCAGAGGTAGAAAGCAGAAAACTTGGGAAATGACAGGTAATTTTTTTGTACTGGCCACAGACATAGCACATCACCTGCCCTTGTTCTACCTTATGGCTCCTGATTAACACGTTAAGAGCGGTGCAGCCTGACCTCAGAAGCTTTTGTTCTCTAATTGTTCTCACTGGCATTGTGGGGATACAGATTCCTGGGTCAGCAGGCCCAGTCAGCGGGGGGCGGGAGGGTGTTTTCTTTAGAAGATAGGATTTTTTTCAGAGTGCTACGATCCCATGAGTTGCCCTCCACAGCTGTAGGAGAAAGAATACTAATTCGCTGCTTATTAATTTTATTAGATATCCTTACCCGAGCATTAAGCTATTGACAAAATGATTTGCTCCTCTTTTCAGTATTGGATCAAATCAACCCTTTCCTATCAGACCACTTAGTGAATCAAAAAACCGATTGTTGGACAGTGAATCCCAATGGACAGAGAATGGGTCTGAAGAAGGTGTTGTCAGATCCGGTAAGATGTGTAATCTGATTAAAATGAAAGTCGTTTCATAAATGTGGAACAATCAAAATAATGTGACATTCTTCATTTATGGGATAGTAGTGTATTGGTCGTTCTTATGGAGAAGAGGTTTGGGTGAAAAAGGCATAGTGGCTGCTGTTGGTTTTGTTCATCAGAAAGTTGTGTGTATGTGCGTGTGTTAGAAAGAGAGCGATCCAGTCCTGTGCTTGTCACCTCACATACGTGGAAAGGTATTTTGGCATTGTATGTTCTGAATTAACGTTCTGAACAAGATTGTTCTTTAGGATTATTGAGTTGGAAATCAGTTTTGAAAAGCATTGCCATCTTTGCTGCCTTCATTGAATGGCCTACTGCGCTGGATGTATCTGCACTTTCCTTGATGGCTCTCGATCGACTCATGAACAGCGGATGCAGTATAAAAGGGTTGATCAGACAGAAGTGGGCTTTTGAGTCAGGCCTGGGTTTACTGTGTTGTCTTGCCATGTGATGGCTTTACAAAGGGCTGTGGTGTTTCTCAGTAAGAATAGTACTAACATTGTCATCACCTTGCATTGCAGGAAATGGTTGGGGATTGAATGATCAAGTTGTGCTGATATCAGGGAATAGCCTAGAACTTACTATGAGAAATTCCGATCTTTTCTTACTTTTCTTTAGTTATTATTTCTTACCTTTTTAACAGCATTTAAAACATTTTATCTTAATTTCATTAACATCATCCTTAGTTTCTTTCGTGCCCTTGTGTAAAATCAAGGGGAAACTTTATTTAGTGAGTGTCTGAATCGTGGCTGCCGAATGTCTTTAAAACCATTGAGCATTTTCACTAAGACAGGCATAAAAACAGAACGGATTGTTGAAGCTACTTGACATCCTTCGGAGTTCTACGAGAAAACGAATCATGTTTCACATCATCCTTTTTAGTACTACATGATACTTTTGCTGTAATCACGAATTTTAGCATTTATCCTGAAACTTAACACATAATTATGTACTTACAGGGGCAAATAACCATGTTACAGTGGCAATAGAGAACTGAGTACCACTTGTTCATAACTAACCATTTGAATAAGAGCAAGGTAAGATAGTATAAAGGTAATTCTTCAACAAAAGTAGATTATCTGCATAGTTCATAATCTTTTCAAACCATGTATTATGATTCGGTGATTTTGTTTTTTTACTCTTTTCAATTATACCAGTAAAATCAAGCAGTTAAACAGAGACTGCCTACATCCCATTTTCCTTCCCCACTCCTAGTATTATCTTAGTGGATATTTGTTGGGAGATTAGTGAAGAATTCAAAAACGGTGGCGAGTTGGTGTGTAGGCACGTAACCTTTCAAGTATGGTGCTGCTGCTGCTGTGTGTCATCGAGTCCATCCCGACCCGTAGTGACCCTGTGTAGGGTTTCCGAGGCTGTCAACCTTGACGAGAACAGAAATCTCGTCATTCTCGAACTTTCTCCAGTATGTTGTTGTGTGCCATTGACTCTGCTCTGACTCTTAACAGCCCTGTATAGGGTTTCTAAGGAGCGGCTGGTGGATATGAGCCACCCACTTTACAGTTAGCAGTCTAGTGCTTATCCTACAGTGCCACACCAAGACTTCCTTTTTAGTATAGGCTACCAGTCCTGGTGTGGCGCTGTGGGTTAATGCGCTGGACTGCAAAGTCAGATTGAACCACAGGGTCAGAAGTTGAAGCTCACTGGCTGCTCCTTGGAAACCCCTATACAGAGTCGCTATGGGTTGGAACTGACTCGACAGCACTTAACAACAACCACCTGATTAATTGGTTTAAGAAGAAAAAGTGTCTTTAGCCTCTTATTGAAGGAATTTGATCCCGAGTAGTGACTAAAATGAAACTCTTCAGAGATTCATTAATGTTTCAATTGTAAAAGATAGGACAAAGAGCAGTTTACAATAAAAATCAAAACCCAACCCACTACTGCTGAGTTGATTCAACCCCTGGCACCATTGTCAGGCAGAGTAGAACTGCTCTGTGGGCTCTCTGAGACCATAAAGCTGTATGGGAGCAGACAGCCTCATCTTTCCCCCATGGAGCTGTCGGCAGGTTCAAACCACCGACCTTTGCATCAGCAGCCCAGTGCTTAACCAGCTGCACCACCAGGACACCTTCCATTTACTCTCACCAGTTACACTGATGAGCTGTTCTTTGTGTGCCTAGAGACCAAGCCAGAAGAGACTAAAGATCAATAAGACTTTCCAGAGAATTTATATGCAGTGAGAGGAATGTGTTAACAACTCAGATTGAAGTGTGACAGGTGTAGTCTCTCTTCAGATGGTGAGAAATGCTGAAGACAGCTCTCTCCTCTTAAAGCATGCACTAGGCTGTGTGGCCTAACGCATCCTGCCCAGCTAGCCCAGGTTCACAATGTGTGTTAGTTATGGGCTGCTTCTTAACAAATCACTACACACTTGATCTGTCAACTGAAGACACACATCTGTTCTCTATTTCCATGGGTCAGGAGTTCTTGCTTTTCAATTAGGGAGCATCGACTTCCATGTTCACATGTTAGTTGACAGAATTCAGTTCCTTGGAAAAGACCTAGCGCGTGTGTCCAAAGTTACAACCCAAGCCCAAGACCTAGACAGAAGCCGACACAATCTGGGGCTCACATAGGGCAGAGAGGGTCTGAGGAGGAGGCATAGAGCAGGCTCCTGGCCGGGGCCGGGGCCGGGGTGCTCAGCAGCCGTAGAGCGAGTGCTTTTCAGAAGTCTCCTCAAATGATGTCCACGCTGACAAGGGAAAACTATAATAAACCACCTCCTAAAATGTTCTTTTTATTTTTCCATGGGGGAAGGGGCCAAGCTATCCCGTTACTTACTGCTTACTAAATGTCTATTGTATTTGTGTTACTAATGTAGGTCCATGTTCAGTTTTAGCAGTACCGTACCTCTAGCCCACAGAGCCGTGTATTCCCTCTAACATTCTGTCCTGGTGTGGCGCTCTGGGGTAATGCACTGGACTGCAAAGTAGGTTTGAAGCTCAAGCTGGGCAGTTCAAGCTCACCAGCTGCTCCTCAGAAACCTACATATGGTCACTATGGGTCAGAACTGACTTAACAGCACTTAACAACAACAACATATTCAGAAATGTGAAGTCATGTGTTAACCCAGTAACTTGATTTTTTCTGTTTTCCTTTTCCTAGGTTTATAGAAATGTGTATGTGCTGATACTTTCAATATTATTTGGAAGACAATGATCAGTGGGATGACATGAATAAAGTGCAGCTGGAGATATATTTTTACAAGAAAAGGAATCCTTTGTCCAGATTGCTGTCCCATAGACACACTCCTCTGGAGCAGGAAGATGCCTTAATTTCACGGGTCCCTTTGTGCAGCAGTGGCCTCTGGCTACAAAAGTGACCGCCTTTCACTTTGGACACACCACTCACCTTTCTGAGATGCCATAATGTGAGCTGTCAGACCACATGTGTCACACATGGCTTGGTTTTGGTTTTGGTTTTGGTTTTGGGGGTGGGCAGGGTAACCTGAGTTGCGTTTTCAGAGTTGTTTCTCAGTCTGTGTTCTAAGTTTTCACTCCAACAACACAAGCTAACAACTTGTCTAAGTGAGTCTGTCTAAGACAGTGTCAAAGCTGAAAGTGGATAATCCTATCCCGATCACTATTGCTTATACTGTATAAGGTAAAAAGAAATAATTGCTTTTTTTATTGGGTGTTTGCTAATTTATAATTGCTGTTTTATACTTTGAACATTTTTAATAATTTTTTTAAATTGTTGGCTATAAAACAACATTCATAGAGACTCAGATATCTAAATGTAATCATTTAAAACACAGAGCACATTTGTATAGTTCATTACAGACTGAGTAATACTCATTGAGACAGCACACTTGGCAGTCTAAGAACTATTTGGGGATTTCTTTGGCTTTTTTACTACTTGTTTGTTGAACTTTGAAGGGGATGTATGCAAGCCGAGAAACACTAAAGTGCACGTTATTCACAAATACTGATACAGGAGACATTGGTGGAAGTGGCTAAAAGGAAGTAAAAGAAAGTGGTTAAAAGGATGTTGTAAGCTGTTAAAAACAGATTTGCATTCCTAAAGGTATTTAGCAGGTAACAGGCTGCTGAGTTGCCTGTATGTCTTTCAAATTTTAATTAAGATAATTATTGAAAATTACTTTGAAACTATTAACAGTAATCTGCTAATAGCTTCAATAATGATCTTCCCTCTTAGGACCCCTTTCATCCTAGATAAGGTCTTCTGAAATCCAGTCTGAGTGGGAAGGATAAACTGCATTGATTCTAAAAGGAAGCATCTTGTTGTTAAGTGCCATCCAATTGGTTCTGTCTCATAGAGACCCTATATTGAGTTTCTGAGGAGCAGCTGGTGGGTTTGAGCTGCCAACCTTCTGGTCTGCAGTCCTGTACTAGTCCTGCAGCGCCACACCAGGAGTCCTAAGCAAAGCAGAGTATCTTTTTAAAAAGAAATAAGGTAGACATGTTATTCCTCATTCTTACAGTTTAGTCAAACAAACCAAAATGATGGATGGCTTCTAGCAAATTGTTGTTGTTAAGTGCCACTGAGTCGGTTCCAACTCATAGGGACCCTGTATGGGGTTTCTGAGGAGCGGTTGGTGACCTTAAACCACCAACCTTGCAGTCAAACTGACTTTGCAATTCAGCACATTAACCCGCAGCGCATACCGGGATTCTAGCAGATGAGTCTATATAAATCTCCACTAACATGGCTACAAGTATGAAAAGCTTTCCTTATCTATAAAATCTGTTGAGGGGGATGGAGTGGGGGGAGGCTAAGCACATCGGATGACTGGAGGATGTCTAACATTCTGTGATGACTGATTTGCCAAAATCATTTACTTCTCAGTCATCCAACAAATACTTGTGGAGTACTTTCTAAATGCCGAACAATATGGACAGCATAGCTCTGTAATCAGCAGAGATTTCTAGCTAACTATGCCTGGTTTAAGGAGCTCTGGTAGCGTAGTGGTTAT